ATACCTGTTTTATTGTAGTTGTTTTATAGCATAATCTACTTCGACATTGAAAATAAAGGACATATCTAATGTAATGACGAGGTATAAAGCTTCTACAGGCAAAACGACCGGCCATATATATCATTTCTTTGTACACCGGAGTAAACTTACAAGCAAAAGTATTGCAATTTGTAAAAAAAAATCAATTTCAATTTTAAATATGAGTCAGGCCGTAAAATAAAAACATACCTTACCTATCATGACCATGAATTGTAATGTTAATATATTAACGCGATAGCGATTGCAAAGCAAGATATTCTTTCTAAGCTGAGTTCTAATAGCTGCCTGATTATTATGGATTGGGCAATGAAATTTGTACCCATGTACTTTAGAGAAACAATGAAGGATTTTTTCGGTAAGAGAGGAATTAGCTGGCACGTAAGTGCAGCGATCCTAAAGCAAGATGGCGATTTTATCGTACAATGCTTTGTTCACATCGTTCAACATAGTTGCACCCAGGACTGGTTTGCAGTCGCTTCTATTATTGAGCATTTATTGGAAACGATTAAGATTGAACAACCACATATCACGGAAGCTTATCTTCGATCTGACAATGGTGCTTGTTATCATAATGCCCCTTTGATTTTCGCTCTGTCATCTATTGGCACAAGAACAGGAATTGGAATTAGAAGATATGATTTTTCCGAGCCCCAGTCGGGTAAAGATATGTGCGATCGTAAGATTGCGCCGATGAAAGCTCATATTAGGAGATACGTTAATGAAAAGAACGTCACCACRGCAAGCGACATGAAGAAGGCGCTAGAATCACATGGTGGGATCAAAGGCTGCAAAGCTACTGTTCTAGCTATTAACACCGCTAATGAACGTGGCACTGAGCATAAACTTAAAGGAATCAGTAAGCTCAACAACTTCGAGTTTAAAAAGGAAGAAATCCAAATGTGGCGAGCATATGATATTGRCTGCGGCAAGACAGAATCACTTGAAGGAAAACAGACTCAAGGAAGGACTGGTTTGACAGTTATAGAGCCGTTCGGATCTACACCACCTTCATATTTGACATCCAAACGAGTTGCTTCTAAACATACGCCGAAATCTGAAGTTTTTTTCTGTCATGTCCCAGGGTGTGTGCTTACCTTTGCTAGCGAGGACGACGCTGAAGCTCATATGGAYACAGGAGTTCATAATCTTGTTCCAGAAAGAGAAAGTTTTTATGACTCCGTAAGACAAAAATGGGCTCAGAATGTTGGAGAAATGGTTTCCACCAYAGGAGAAGTAAATTTTGCAACCACAGACAAAACCACTACCAATCCATGAACTGCAAACAAATCMGGTCCCAAAGAGAGAGTATCACAAGGATGGGCACTGAAAAGCCAGAAGGCCGSTGCAAAATTCCCAGCTCATGTCAGAACATATTTGATAGCGAAATTTAATGAAGGCTTGGGGAATGGCCAGAAAGCAAGTCCAGAAAACGTTTCTTGAGAGATGCAGAGGGCAACACTCTGAGGGGAAACTACTCTTTACTCCAGAAGATTGGAAAACAGAAAGACAAATAGCCAGCTTTTTTTCACGCTTATCAGCACTGCAAAGAAAAAGTGAACATCCGGTGACCGTCGATGAAGAGGAAAACTTAACTGAAGGAGATTACAGAGAATTGGAGTCAAACATCGCCAATGAGGATCTCAGGAATGCCGTCTACAATGCGGTYGATATAGAACACCCAATTTTTTTTGAGGGACGCAACATCTGTGAAATGACAAAGAACAACAAGCTTACAAGTTTCAAGACTGCCCAACTTGAAAGTATTTGCAACCTTTATGGTCTGGATGTCRAGAGGTCAAGTCAATCAAGAAATTTAAAACGCCCTTATGTCAACAGCATAACCGTGTTTGTCTCAAGTTGTTCGTGTTTCAAGCGATGACCAGGTACACTTATGTCAATTTTTAATTAAAAGTTTAACGTGCATATCATATCTAAAATGCATAATTCGAATATTGCCCTCCTTTTCTTTACAATTAAAATGGCATTTGAATCGCCAAAAAACGCCACTTCTTTTTCCACTTTGACTTTACTTATAGGTCGCAATATCAGCTTCAAGAAAATAGGAGTCGATCGATGACCAGCGCACAAGCAGCAAGAAGAGAAGGAAGTGATACTGCGTCGTTCGAACTTGCCATTTTCCTTGCTTGTTGTTGTTGTTTGCAACTGAAAGTTTTGGAACCAAAGTGACGCGACAATTGTAAAAAGTCGCCCCAATCTTCAGGACAGAAGTAAGCTATTTTTAAGTAGGCTATTTTAACGACGTTCGTGGGAATACTCGCCCGCATCTTTCTGCGCATCGATTTTCAATCGGTTTTGTGCGCCTGCGCACTTCGTGATGACGTCATTCGAATGTTTGGATGAGCAATTCAAAATAGCGAACAAAGTGAAATATCTCGAAAATTACTTCAGATGCTTCAGATGGAATATCTGGTTGTTTAAGACATTTTTCATATTTTTGACTTCCATTTTCTCGCGGTACACATAGAGCGTATCCCGCTCGCTTTAATTTTCTTTCGCAATTCCGTCAAAATTGTACSGCTCATAAAAACGAAGACGGTGACTCCTCGTTTTTTCTTTTTGTATATTTAAAGTGTATATCTTAAAGTATATTCATACAAAGTTTCATAAAAATGACACCTCAAATTCAATTGCCCGTGAAGCCTAAAATTCGGATGTGAATTTTTTCATKTTATCTACTGATAAGCTTATCATTCTTTTTAAGGAAATATTAATCTACCACATTCTGAAGAACAATAAACATTTCGCCGTGTGCACTTTAATTTAGTCACAAAGCTAAATGAATGGATGGATGGATGTATGGATGGATAGATGGAGATGGATAGATATGGATAGATGGATGAATGGATGCACGAATGTATGAATGAATGAATGTTTTAATGTTGGGCTTTTAGAGAGGCCTTCAGTACTATGCGTGACTGTGTTTACATACGGCTTTGTTTGTTGACAATACGGTCCGCTCGTTCCTTGATCATYGCTAATAAAAAGGAATAAACACTTATACACCCTCATAAAATCGAGAAAAGTTGTATACTTTGTTCAGAATTAAGTTAAAAAGTCTAAAAGTCTTCCAAAATGTAGTTTGTCAACAGGTGACATTGCGTGACGCGAATGCTCATTTAGAGTAATTAGCGATGAATATGGTCCTGAAAATAGTTYATATTTCAAAGGCATTTAAAGAYCCCAAAAAATTAAAAACATGTTGTGAAAGAAGAACTAACGCTGAGAACGGAGAACTTTGGTTTGTTTTAAACAAACACCGCCGACCGGAGAAACTTGATTTTAAAAAAAGGCTTTTTCAGCGAAGCGAGAATCATCGAATTTTGCTTTATGCAAATTTTTGACTTCATAATTTTCCTGAAAAGACTTCTTTTAATTCGTTTTGGCCTTGGAGGTATAACTTAGTCCTTTATTAAAAAGAATACGAAGTTTGGATCGGTTTCCAACACGTTTAATGTGAAACTGTGATGTTTATCTTCAGATGCCGTGACAGATAAAAATTTGATGTCGCCGCCGGTCGCATTTTAAGGGAGGGGGTGGTCGATCTCAAGAACGGAAGGGATTTCAAATCTAATAATATTTATTTTCAACATAGCTAGTCAAATGTATAAAACAGCCGAAGTATGAAAAGAATCGGCCGATCCCCATCCGTTCGACCTGCCCGGTTTTCTCAGACACTCACTCTTAAATCATCATTAACATCATTAAAGCTTGTCTTTAAATCAAAACAATGGTCGCTCGATTGAGACTCATTTTTTGTACTTGGTTGATTGCAGTTATAGATGAGACTGTCAGTTGTCCAGAATTCTCCGCCTAAACTGAAATACAGTAAATGTTGCTGTATCCCAAGAACACGTATTTCTGACTTGAACTTCAATGTTTTCAAAATGAAAAGTTAACTAATGGACATCTAAAATGAAGGTAGATTGGACTCGTTTAATACGAAAGAGGATTTTCGATGAACAAACTTGTTGAATTCAATGAGTCAAAAGTTCAAAAACTTTAAGCTTGAGAGAAAATTTAGCATTTACTGTTGGGATCAGTTGTTTAACAGTATAAACTAGAAGAGGTTTCAATATAGCTGAAAACCGTCAAGCTGCTCGGAATAAAAGAATTAAACATAAAGGCACAAATACGCCGAACATAGAGCATCTGGCGGAAGAAATCGCAAGTAAAATGCCCTTGAAGCAGACAAAAAAATCTCTTTTTTATTAGTTTGAATCCTCAAATGCTAAGTTTGCTTCGCTTTTTGTATTTCTATTGTCTGTTTGGGACTTTAGAAGTTAAAAAGTTATGAAAAAATACCTGAACGTTGAGGCGGAGCGAAAATTCAAGGTGCAAAATATGAAAGACATTTCTAGTTTTAATTTATTTACTATCGAAAACGCTACGATAAATGCTTTGGCTGTCTTCACTGTAGGTTCTTCGCTATTTTCATCGCATTTTTTATCTCAGTTTCCTTCCCTGGCGTCTTCGCTGTTTTTTCGATGTTCTCTTACATCAATTGTAAGTTTAAATGCTTAATTCGACTATGAAGAAGACCTGATAGTTTAATTTCAACTTTTTACTGATTTTGAATGCATTTTTCTCTTCGGAAACTAGACATTTTTATCTCACCACATTTCTGAACAATCAGGGATCGCATGCTAAAAWTAGCTCAGGCTTGCGCGCGGAGGTAAAACTAGATTTTCAAAAAAACTTTCATGATTACAGACCCATGTATGGGAGATGTGCTCTGTTACTTAATATTCTCTTGATTTTCTCCAAACTAGGCGCCAATATAAACCCGTAAAATCGCAATACCGTAACTTATAAATATTGAACTCATTATATTTGAATTTTTAGATTACCATGTCCCCCCTGATTATCGAATAAACTCGTACATCAAAGAAAAGGTAAGCTAATGCCGGCATAGTCAGAGTCTATTATAATAAATACTGAATAAAACATTCAGGAATAAGGCAAAACCGCTTTCCATCTATGGATTCCTTCACTGTGTACCTCCAGTCACAGTATACGTTGTCACAATCAGCAATGTATATGATTATTAATGTCTTGATATTATGAATATTATAGAGCTATTAATTTCACTGGCAAATTACCGAATTGAAACCATAAATATTCTCATCTCTTTTCTGTGTCAACATTGCCGTTCCCGTCATCGTATTCGCTTTCTTTGGTTGTTATTCTGATTCATCTCTGGCACTAACAACTACATGAGCTAGTTGAGGTAATAAGAGGCGAGCGCTCTTACTGCAACGCCACCCATGCTTCGCTATTGCTTTATATGATAGATTTTCACAAGGAAAAGAGCAAAACGTTTTTTGGGAAAACATTTTGTTTACAAATGGGGAGCGTTTCTCCTTCCCTTTTTATTTAAATTGGGCTCCTGTGCCTAAAACAACGGGAGCTTCGGCTATTGGGCAGCAAGACAGGTGAAGAAAAAGGAAACTTGAACAGCGCCGTGTAAAAAAGTTTCAAAATGGGTATAAATAAACTAATAAATAAATAAATAAAAGGATGATTCTGGGAGAAAGGACACAAAACATAGTAGGTTTGAAAAGGAGCTACTACCAACGAGACGTTTGTCGTAGACCCGTATAAGTTTACGTTATTTAGCTCTCTTTCCTCCACTCTAGCTTGTCTTGCGAACTTGATGAGTCTCTCTAAAGCTTCGGACACACGGTGCAACATTGCCCTCTATGTTGCATGCAATTGATTCGTTGCGCGCAACGTTGCTGAAGTAGAAAACTATCCCACTTCAGCAACATTGCCTGCAATGTTGCAAGTCCAAATTACCGCTGTGTTCCTTGATTACAGACTCATTTGCACAGGGTTAGCCTCGTATCAGTGTTTAAATATTYACAAATACTAACGGTAAAGTAAAGAATGCACAACTTCAACCTTGACTGTAACACGTGAATATTCTGCACAAACTCGAGGCTAACCCTGTGCAAATGAGTCTGTAATCAAGAAACACAGCGGTAATTTGGAATTCGAAACTAGTCTATTCCATTACGTAATGGTAGTATGCTAAAAATCGTAAGTTACATCTTTTACAACATTCTAAAAGAATACCAATGAGATTGGTCTGGCAGTTCCATGACTTTGGCGTGTCCGTGTCCACGCCGTATTCATGCTGTGTTTCGGTCCTTTGATTAGATGGAGAGTAAATTATCGTTGTGATTGGGCTGGAGTATGCCTTCCCGTGTCACGACCGTGTTCGTGCCGTGAGCTTTTACTTACTGACGTTCTCTTTTATTCCGACGAAGGACTAGCGTCCGAAACGTCAGTAAGTTTTTTCATCTTTTCACGGTGTATAATTTACCCTTTTATCATTACTGTTTTATTAGAAACACCGACGCAGCTCACACTAGTTTTTAGCTAGTTATCTCTTCTTATAATAGAGGACTAGAATCTCAACTTCCGGTATTTTTTTTCCATTTTATTCCGCAGCTTGCACCCATCAAACTGAGTCGATACAGTGAGGATTTGCTGTTCCACTTGTATTATACGAATGGTGGAGATATTCTACAATTAGCAGCAGCGGCTGAATTGTAAGTCATACACAATAAAGGTTCGAAATAAATTATTGTTGATGGTGATGATGGTCGTGTTTTTAAGACTGGTATGGTTTGTTATTCACTGACGTTTATGGTGTAGCATGGATTTTGCATCTAACTGACGTGTGAACTTGACATGATAAATGTACTGCCAGAAGAAAAAAATAGGTTTTTCTGAAATAGGTTTTTCTGCAGATAGTCCTTTGTTCATGTAGCGGATTAACTCAAAGGCACAACACGGAGATTAAAATACGGGTAGCTATTGTTTCAGAAGCAGATTTAAATTTTAATCATAGTTTGCAAAATATGAAAATTATTCAATATTTGGTTTTGCGCATGAATAATAAATTATGAAGACTGTACATGTGTTATCAGGCTACTAGTTCTGCAGTTAACAGTCTCAGTGCTTGTTATTTACAATATCATCAAGTAATAGTTTAATGAAACTTTAATTTTATTTTGGTTTTTAGGTATGCACGAGACTGGAGGTACCACAAGGATGAAAGGACGTGGCTAACACGAGCACCAGGGGTGGAGCCACAGATCAAGTCAACCAACTACGAAAGAGGGACTTATTACTTTTTTGACTGCAACTCGTGGAAAAAAGTACCTCGAGAATTCCACTTAGAGTACGATAAACTCGAGGAAAAGCCAACACTGCAACCCATGGCAGCACAGTAGAAAGAGGAGGATTTCTTTAATGTAAAAAATGATCTTGGCATGCATGTACTATTCAAAGTTTGGGCGAGACTTTTTCCTGTTTACAAATGCTGTTTTTATTCATTTTCATTTATTCTTTCCTTCCGAGTAGAATTCGTAAAGGTGCAACAATTGGTTTTCAATCATTTGCTAGGGAGTACAATAAAAAAAGTCAAGGCAGCTAAGTTGTTGGCTATGACGTCATCACCAAAAACAGAWTATCGTTAACCTCCGAAATAAGGCGCCCAAATTTAAGCGCTAGCAAAACCAACCCCATTAAATTTGAAACGCAATATAAGCCATCCCAAATATAAGCCATGAGACTATTTTAAAAACAGTGTTTCCAAGTTTTGCCATTCTGTGATGATATTTTTCGTAGACAATAATAATGCAGTCATTATTATTGAATGGTTTTATAATTAGTATATGTAATAGRACTCCATGCTGTCCAATTAAGAAATAATTGGACGAGGAAAATTCTGAGGCTTGCAAAATTGGACAAGGCCGTAGGCCAAGTCGAATTTGGCAGTCAGAGGAATTTTTCGAGTCTAATTACTTCTTGATTGGGAAGCATGAAATCCCATTACCTATTAATTATATAGCTGCCTAATTAATCTCATATCAACAAGACCTGTCCAATTTAGAAAATAATACCGCGCTGAAATTAGCAGCCAACTCAATATTTCAGAATATGGCCTCGAGTGCTAGAAATTACGAATGGTATATTCAAAGAAAAGCTTTTGATAGAAATTAAGATACAACTATCAAAATAATATTAATGTCTTTAATATATTACTTATTAAGAGAGAATTCTTTTCGTATTCAAGCTGTGAGCGCCAAAAACTATTTTCTTGAAGAAAGGCTGTTGTACAAGGCTAAAATCTTGTTATTCAGAAAGTTTAACTTGTTTGGAAGTGGAGATGACCGATGAAAGTGGAATCAAAGTGTTAACCCAAAGCAAAAATTTGAATCGGAAATGAGGTTTAGGCCTTCATTTGCTTATTTCATTTCAACTTCCCTAGCATTAATGACAAGCAAATCTTATGTACTTCGGTGCTGACCTTCATTTGCCGCCGCCATGATATTTGGCCCATGAAGACTATGCTGTGTTTAGTCGTGCTTAGACCTTCTCGGGATCTTGCCACAGGAAGCCCAAACTCAATCTTGGGACACTGATGTGGTTGGRCTGCCTGTGGTACACCATATCGCATTACAGTACGCCATATCGAATAGAGGTACGACATATCGCATTGAAGTACGGCCCATCCATTGAAGTACGCCATATCGCTTAGAGGTACGGCATATCGCATTCAAGTATGCCATATCCCATAGCGGTACTATTACACTAAATATATCGCTTAGAGGTACGGAATATCACAGAGGTTTTACATATATAGGCCCTCGGTACGCAAAAATATAAAAGACTATAACGAATAACATTTTTGTCCATATTTTTAGGCCTGGGTTTTTCTCTATATCACACACTGAATAAACTCAAAAAAGAAAAGAAAGAAACACATATCACAGCATTTAATTAATGAAAAATCATCTCGACTAACAATGTCCAATATATAAATCTCTAACGAAGTTGATTTTTAACTTTTGCAATCTAAAAAGTGTTATTTATAATCACACAAAATTACGAAACTCAAAGAACTTGTAAACATTGAATGAAAAGTCACTTAATCAAAAAATCTTGAAAAAGAATATACAGGGCTCCCACTATAAAATAATATCTAATAATAAGTGATGGGTTATTTATAGTTAATAATTATGAATTCACAAGATAGAAGATCGAGGCTGGTTATATTAAAATATGTGTTACTTTCTTGCAAACTCGGAATTAATTCAAAAACGAAAAACACACAAGCACAATTAATTCATAATGGTAATTGAACTGAGTGGAGTGCAATTTGGTCTGAAATCAAACGCGTGCGATTTGTAATTGCAAGTTTGATTTCAGACCAAAATTGCACGACACGAAGTTCAATTACCACTTTATTATATCCATTTTGAAATCTTTTTTGAAAAAGACGTTTTTTTCCAGTTAAACTGACATGACATACAATCTAAAAGCAGTCGATTCAAACATGCTGCCAAGAGAACTTGTTTATACTGATCGAGCAATGATTCTCATTTTGAAAACCAACACTTTCAATCCAAAACTAAAATGAATTTATATCGGACCAAAAGGCATTACATGTATTAAGAATCATTTACTTACATTAAATAACAAGACAATCCTGCCCAAAAGGGTTGTAATGAACTGGCTGTTGTCCATA